TATGTCGATTTGTGGAGTCCTTTATATTTTTTATTAAGGCTGTATATTCAAAATCACGGAAGTGAGTCTCATACGATTTTCGTTTTGTTGAGATACTTGGCTTTGCCAAATTTATTTTTTGCTACTGTTACTATTATTTATCATTTTTTCAAAATCAATATTTAACAGGATAACATCTTATACGACTAGGATTTTGGTCAAATCAATTTTAAGCAGTAATAGCATACTAAAATGCTGCTTGTTATCATTATTTCTGACTATTTTTCCGTCGCGTGCTTAAATATGTACGTTCAAGTGTACGTTCAATCGGAAAAGTGATACGTAAGAAGAGTGTTCTTGGCACTTTGGAAATGGCGTTTGAATACGTACGTTATAATTTGTCGCGAATGGATCCACGTAAATGTTACTCATACAGGCACAAAGATTCGACCGAATATCGCCGAACATCGGAAGCGACGTTTATGCGCGTTGCAGAACGTGTCCCTCTCGCGAATTCGTAAATTATTACGGCCAATAAATAACGCTCGGGTCGATGAGCGATAGCGATCAAAAGGAAACCGTCTCTGATATATGTGTATCCTGCGCACCCTGCGGGGGTTGGTTACTCCTTCCATCTCTTAATCCAGACATATGCGCGCTCATATGCGCGTTGGTGTGTATATGTGCGCGTGAATTGTGTAACGTATTATGTGTGTGTGTTAAGTACATGTTAACGTGTGTGTCGGTGATGTGATATGTGCGGCGAGGCCAGTCGCGTTCGTCCTCTCTCGTTTCCACTAAAGCACGCTTTCATTAATTTCCATTAATTACTCGCTTTCTTCGAAAGTTGGCCTCTTCGTTAATTTGCGACTTTGCGTGTTCCATTGAAAAAAATGAGTCTGCGAATAGAATTGATTAATAATTTGAATAAAATTAAATGTGCTATCTCAACTCATTTTATATATTAAAAGAAACTAATTATATGAAAAATTGAGTACTGGTGCAATGAGTTAGTTTTTATATATAATACAGCTTATAATAGGGAACAAAAGAAATCAAGGCTTAATAATGGATAGTTTGTTAGTTATGTTGTATTAAAAGGTATAAAAAATTTGTGCATACAGAATACCTTTGATTAATACACCGTAGTTAAAAAACTATCCATTATTCTTTTGTTCACATTATAAACTATATTATATGTAACGTCATAATATGGTGAATAAAAGATGTCGTAGACAAAGGCTCAATAATGGATAATTGAGCCACATATGTTGCACCCAAAGTATAAAATTTGTGCTCACAGAGTATCTTTGATACATTATAGTTCAAAAACTACCCTTTGAGTCTTGTGTCCGTGACAACTTTTGTTCATCACGTTTAAGCTACATTATATTACAGTTTAATGGAATATTTAAAAATTGAGCTGAATACAGACCTGAAAATAATTTTGTTAGACCTTCAAAATTATTTTTGGGTCTATTTCTTGCTAAATTTTTAAATCCTTTAGCAAAACTTCCTTTTCATGTATAGGTAATTACGTGCCATTTCCAGATAAAAATATATTTAATATGTGAAAACTCATTTCACTTAATTTTTCATATAATTTATGCGAGGCTCTCTGATATAAATTTTGAATGAGGCAAAGGTATACATCTCTTAAAATATAATGTAAATTCATATGCTCACTGTGCAAAAATTTTACTTAAGAAAATAATCACTCAACGATAGAATAAACATGTACGGTAGTTAACTTATATTGTCAAGGCGTAAAATCAAAGACGGGGGAGTGCCACTTTGGAAGACCGACGAGTCGCACCTTAGATACTATAATATCACACCTACTTTCATTCTTGAAGTCAAACTTCGTGTCTTCACTTCGGTCTCACACACAACGTTTCTCCCTGTTTGCCCCGCATTTTTTTCCTCTTTTGCGGCTGCACGAACTTCGTTTCACTTTCTGTGTCCTCGCACTTTGCTCTCACGCGCACTCTCTTACTTTCCTGTCACGCTTGCTCATCTCTTTTTCAAGCGTCTTCTCCGAAGAGCGGTCGAATGGACCTCTCGCGGAATCCTCTTCTCAGGATTTTCTTCTTTTCTTCGCGCTCGTACATCCATCCTCGCTTCACGTGACCAAACGCCCTGTGTCGTCGACAGCGAAACACGTGAAACAGCCGCACTGTACTCGGCCAAGTGAAAATTCGTTGTATTCGTCGGACGATCGTACGTGTGACGCGTCAAAAAATTGTCAAATATCTCGCGGAATTGTGCGTGGAAAATTTTATTTTTCAGGGAATGGAAAATTACTTTTTAAAAGCAATTAGTTATCGTTACTTGTTACTTTCTAAATTTGAATCAGTGGATAGTCACTAATTACCCAGTGACATATTTGACACTGGATAATAATCAGTGAAATTCAACTAAAAAAGGAAGAATGTTTGAGCATTATATAATTAAAATACTGATATTTGCACGTTAATTCCAATTTTCCAATACCATATTCATTGAATTTATGCACTAAAATAAGATTAGTTATTAAATCACATAATAAAGATTTAGATAGATTACAGATCTCACATTTCATTCACTGATTACCAGTGGCATACTTAGCACTGATATCAGTGATTATCCACTGATTCAGAATTAGAGAATATCAAGTCAAAAAGGTAACTAATTACGTATTAGTATCTTATTAAGGCATTACTTAAAATGGTCTTGAAATAAAAACGAATTATGAATATCGGCCAAAGGTTGAAGATTGAATGTATAAAAAATTATATTTCAGAAAGGTTCAAAATATAAAAAGTAACAATAAAAGTAACTGTAAAATTTAGTTTTGTTACCACAAAAATATAATTACGTTACCGTCATATAGTCAATAAAAAGAAGGTAACGCGTTATTAGTCCATTATTCAAAAAAGTCACTTGTAACGGTAATTACAAGCAACGCGCGTTACTTCCATTCCCTGGTAGTTTTACAAATAATAATCGCACGCGAGAATAACTGTATCCGTGGATAGAATGCCACACATTGCGTGATCGATTATGTTTTTATAAAAAAATTTGAAAAAAATACAAAAATTGAATGATTAATTGGAAATTTTTGTTGAGCGAATGATGCGTTGATAATAAAATATTGGTTTACTAATTTCGAATTTAACATTATATGTTTTCATTATGACCAAACGAATGTATTGCTTTGGATTGGATTTTCGACGTTATTTAGTTATTATTCTTGTTATATCAACGTCATACAAATTGTTTTTGTCGAAATAATCACGAATTTAAACTTTTACACGATCTCCTGTAAGGAAGCCTCTCTTTCATAAAATTATTATTTGTACCTATATAACTGTGCAACCGCGCATTTGCAATTTTGCAACGCGAGATATCCGAATTATTAATCCTGGTTTTTGTTGATGCCGGCGCAGCAAATCCATTTATCGATTTGTACGTAATTCGCGTTTCGCCGTGGTGTAGTGACTTATACGCGTTTCGGTAGTTAATCTCACGCGTGTCGTAAAACGGAATTTGCACGCGCTGCGCCAGAATTTATATCTCCGCGGTACGACATGCATGCTATATGAAGTACGGCTAGTTCTGTCTAAACCCCCACGACGGCAATTGTCGGAGTGTAAAATAGAACGGACTTTATTACGAAAATACAGTCGAACGTGAATTGAGCACGACCTTTCAAATTTATATCAAATTTTATTTAAATATCGGAAAAACTTAAAATCTTGATAAATTCAAGAGGACACAAGATAAAAAATTGTAAATTCATTATTATTACTCGAGAAATTTGTGATCGTGCTATCTAACTCGTAACATTCACTATTAGCAGTAAAATCTTGAAACTTCAGTGAAAAGTTAATGACGACTGCGACCCGCGATCGACTTTAAAGAGTTTCCCGGATCTGGAACTCGTTAAAAAGATTGGGAGTTAAATATGATAAGAAGTCGAAAGAAGATAGAGAGTGAAAGAGAGATAGGAACCTCTACGAAAATTACAGGGAAACTTTCAACTAAGTACATTAACACTAAGAAATACTGATCTAAAAAGTTGCTTAAAATATGCAAAGGTGCGTTCATCTATTTTCTACCAAAATTACCGTCGTGGTAATATTGATCTCAAAATAATTCTTTTATTCTGTATATGAAACATACCGTACATTTTATCCAAAAGTGACACAATTAATAAAATGTAATTTTCGAGTTATTACCGTGAATGAATTAGGCAAACATTACCTTATTATCAATGATCAAAAGTGAACTAACCTAATTTTATAAAAATCGTTAAAACGTCACAACTGAGAAAGGGTTTATAAGAAAAAAAATCGTCACAACTCAGAAAGGGTTTATGAAAAAATTGTAAAAAAATGTCAACTCAAAAAATGTTTATATGACAAAATCGTCAAAATTGTCACAATTCAAAAAGGGTGAATCTTAAAGGCTGTGAAACGAAAATAACAAAAATAACCTTTAATCACGTTAAGAATATGTTCTTTTTGTCAATATTATTTGATTAATAAGTATTTCTGTTAAGTTGAAGAATATTTTTTTCCTTTTTTTTAAGAGAAACTTAATTTTTTTAGTTGTATCACTTTTGAAACAAGGCAGCGATATGTACTTAAATCATATATAATAATCCCAATATGACATCACAAAATAAAAAAGTAATACATATATAATATATCATTGTTTTAGTAATTAAATGATGAATGCATAATGATCAACAGAAATTTATTTTTTATAATCGCTACGATCGTCTCATCTCAACAACATTTTCTCACGTGTCTCTTTACATTTCATTAGCAATCCGTCGACAAGCAAATACGACAGTAGTGCATTGCTGAACGCGAAAGCGTGGTTGGACCGAGAGCGAGCCGATCGACCGATTAATCGCCTACTGTCGCTTAATCGCTAAGCCTAATTTTATATTTAAGGATCGGACAACTGACACTGAACCTGTCGCGCGTTTTTAGAGCGCGCGCCGCAACGTAATTCCCATTCGAAGGGGCCGACTCACGCAAGGAGGCCGATAGGTCACGTTGTGAGCAGAACGAGCGCAAGGATCGCCGTGAGCAGTTGAACGAGGATGTTGGCACGGATGCTGCATGCAGCCGCGTGCATATCACCAGCGCTGAGCCTCTCGTTGTTCAGCTGCGCCTTCATCACCCTACGCTCGGCCTCGTATATGTGCGAACCGACCTCGGCGAAGCATTTGATCTTGATCTGTTCGTTGTTATCAAAGTGTCGAGGTTCAGCCTCCAATCGTAGCCCCAGACTGTTGGGAATGTTTCCGCTACTCATAGGCGGCAACGGTGGGTGCTGAACAGTGTTCTCGAGAGATACCTGCAATGAACACGATTGAAGCGGTTTAATGAAGAGCGATTGCTGGCGACATAGAGATTGAGGCTGATTCACGAAATTCTGCCTTCTCTCTGTGACAATGGGGAAGCGGACGATTCTATATTCTGGCGTCTACAGAACTTAAGCTATGACGATTAAGTGTTCTTCGAGGGTGCGTTCGCTTTTGTGTTCATAGCGCTTGTAAGCATCATTTGTTCTTGTTTAATATTTGACAGACAACAAGGATGAAATGATGCTTACAGTATGTGAGAATGCATCCCGAAGGTATGGATATGAGTAACAATCGGAAGAGGGAAACACTTCGCTGAATTTTTTATGAAATATACGACTACTTGTGTAGCAAGATACTGAATCTAATTATGTTTCTGCGAAAAATGTTATGGTGCTAAGTTATTATTTCAATAGCTTACAGTAAAAAAGACTTGTTGTCTCTTTTACTGGAAACTATTGAAATAGTTTATAAAACTTGTCTCACGATAATAGTTTTTTGTTTTCGATAATAATTTATTTAAATATAGTTTATTTTCGATAATAAGATTAATAACATTATTTCCGATAATCGTTGATAACAATATTCTCGATAATTGATTTTGTCAATATAGTTTATCCGGTAGGAAGGGTGGTTATATCAGTTATATATACATATTGAAGTAATTATCTCTATTTGTTTGAATGTTTTTTGGCGAGAGCGGAAAAACTTGTATAATTTTTATGATCCAAATTATCAGTAATATTTTTATGAATAAGAAAAATTCATCGTTTTAGTTTACAAAACATTTTTAACGTGGGTTGAAATACAATTTCTATTTATTAAGATACAGTGCATTTAGTCGCTTTTGCAGTTAGAGAAAAAAAATTTAGTTGATTTTGGAATTGAAGTATTAATGCAAAAACAATTAAATTTTAGAGTAGATTATTGAATTAAACAGAATTTTTTATTAAAAATTTTTATTTTTCTATTGATAAAAAAAATTACTTACTATATTACAAAAGCACATTTAATTGTTTATTGAAAAGTACAATTTTTTGTTCTTTTATGTTTATGTCAATTTCAAATAAAAAAATATTAAACAAAGAAAAAAAGTAATAAAAAGATAATAACGAATAGAAATAAAAAAGTTAGTAATCCTATACGAAAAAAACGGCTACAGTTGTCACGACCAAGTCGCTCATCAATATATTTTTTGGTTATAGGTAAGAATAACTACAGTACGATTGTGTGTGGTAACTGTAGATTGGCATATCTTAACGGTTATGGCTGTTAAAATATGTTCATTTTACGGTTATCACAACTAAATGTATTGATGGACGAAAATTATCATTATTTCCAATTGTGATAACCGTAAGATTTTTTCTGTGTATAGGTTAATCCGAGTACAGAGTGCAGATTTAACTTTATCTGCAATTTGATTCACTTTTTCTTCCTTGATTTTATAAAGTTTATAACTGTTTTTACAAAATTTAAAATGTTCATTGTATTATTAACCAAAATGCTAAGAAATCTAAAGATTTCAATATCTCATATTTTTTAATTTTTGAATATAGTTGCTTTTGCTATTCATATATATGTATATGTACATATATACATATATGTATGTATGTATATGTATTTATAATATGTATGATGAGCAGCCGAATACAAAAGCAATTATATTTAAAAATTAAACGGAAGAGATGCTATACAATTTCGAATTAGATGGATAATTTAATAGTTATTTAAACAAATGATTATTTATAACAAATGTTTTTATATATAATTATCTTTTTACAGCATTTTAAACATAAAAAACGTTTATTTATTGTATTATCTCTTTTATGCTTAAATTCTTTTAAAAATGAACGATTATGTATATCTCTAAAATACGAAATACTGTATAATAACGATAATTAATATAACGGGAGATTCTGTGCGTTTAATTACATAATTATATCAAAAAGGTAAAGATTAAAAATTGGTTTGGAAATTATAATTTTAATTATGCTCCTTTATGTAACTACACGATCAATTTTGTTGCCAACTCAAATATTGTCCCTTTTCGATGTATATTAGGGGCCGTATTATGCGGACGTTAAATATAGCTATACGGTGCAGCGATGGTGCGATGGTAATAAGAGGAAAATTCCGTTGAAAGTCGACACACCGCGAATCGTTTGTTATACGTGCCGGGCTACACGGAAAGAAAAGCGGCGGCGGCTGGTCGGCGCAGCCGCGGATGAGAAACGAGCTCACTGAAATTTTTGTCTCGCGTGTTGTTAAAGGCGAGCTTTTCTTTCAGGCGCGCGGTCAGGAGAGGGCAAGGAAAAATTGGGCCATGTCCGCTTTAATTTCTGACGGCGGATAAATTTGCGTGTCAGATTATTTCTCCGTTCCGTTAACCGAATTTTTTCGACCATTATTTGCGACTTCCTATTTTACACGAGCGCATTGTTCCCCGTGGCGAAACCGTCGGCTATTGTGTAACGTGAGAAAATAATCGCTTGCAATTTCGAGTACCTCGGGCGTTTCCTGATACACGGAAGATCGCATCTTAATCTTGCAATAATTAACATCGAGTATCTCGACGATTATCCACATTATTTAACTTTCGGCAATGTGACATTTTTATTCTTAATTTACTTCCTAAGCTTTCGTACTTTACTGTAGATTTTTGTATTGTGTGTTCCGGACTGTATAAAAATCTGGAAAACTCTTGTGGAAGTTTTGACAACGAGTTTTTATTATCATAGAAGTTGGATTGTGTATGTTACTTTTTAGAAATTTATATTTATACTGAATTAAAATTTATACTAAAATTTTAATTTAGTAAATTTAAATCTCTTTCGCAAAAAGTTCTTAATCTTATCTTTATTCTGGGCTATATGAAGAAATTCTTACAGTCTTCTGAAAGCTTTAACAAGTTTTTATACTATCATAAAAGTTTGATTATTTTACTCATTTTTTATGGATTTAAATTTACCTATCAGAATTTACAAAAAAGTTATATATATTTTTGTATCGTTCCGAGTTATATGAAAAATTCTTACATATTTGTGAAAGACTTACACGAATTTTTACTATCGTAGAAATTGGATTATATATTACTTATTTTTTACAGATTTAAATTTATATACTAAAGTAAAATTTATACTAAAATTCATAAGAAGTTCTTAATTATTTTTATATTGTTCTGGATATGAAAAAATTTTTAAACTCTTGTGTGAAAGTTTTAACGAGTTGTTACTGTCATAGAAGTTGAATTGTATTTTACTTATTTTTTGCGGATTTAAATTTGTCTATGAGAATTCACAACAAATTTTTACACATTTTTATATTGCTCCGGATTATATAAAAACGAATTGTTACTATTATAGAATTTGATTTGTATTTTATTTATTTTTTACAGATTTAAATTTATCTACCAAAATTCACAAAAAATTCTTATATATTTTTATACCTAAATATTATTTTGGATATGAAAAAATTCCTACACTCCATTGAAAGCTTTAATGAGTTTTTACTACTTACATAAAACTTGGGTTGTATTTATTTTTTTACAAATTTAAAATTTATCAACCAGAACTTGTAATAAAAAATCGATTTTATAATCTAACATTGGAGGATTAAAATTCTAATGAAAGAGAGAGAGAGAGAGAGAGAGAGAGAGAGAGAGAGAGAGAGAGAAAGAGAGAGAGAGTGTGTGTTATCGTATAATTATAATATAATATAGTATAATATAGTTATTCATATAATTATAATTAATAACAAATAAAATTTTGTTAAATATTATAGGAGATTTATGTCTCTTTACTTAGGATTTTCTTTCAAGCTTCAATGAACAAACTTCCATAGAATGGAGATAGTTTTCCGCAGTTGGCCGTTTAGTACGGCATGCGATATCGTTAGGAGAGTTTCGAAAGACTTGGACAGATCATAGGATCGTCTGCGAAACGCTGCGGGACGCATACATATGCAGCGGGAAGATCAGCGGGCGTTTGGCTTTAAACGTTCAACGTTAACCATAAGCCGTGGTACGAGCCATGTAACTAATCGAACTAGCACATTGGACCGAGCTAAACTATCGTCCTCGCTTTGTGGCGAGGATCGCCGACTCCCAAAGTTAAAGCCCCAGTCCATGGAGAACTACTGTTCGTAGATAATGCCTGGGTCCAACCGTCTTACTTACCAATAACTTCCGCATACTGAAACTGAGAATAATGGACGCTACATGACACGAAAATTTAGTGTATATAGAGCGCCCGCGGTGATAGCTGGACGAATAATCGCGCGCGTTATCGCCGCCCCTCGCGCGTGAATAAAAATTACATCCGGCGGACGTTATTTTGCAAAATATAACTGAAACACGCTATGGTATGCTGATTGATAGCAACGAAAGAATTCGCCGAAACACGTCGCGCTTGCATCATCGCTGTTTTCCCCTTGTTTTTCGTTTTTTTTCTTCAAAATATCAGTTACGCGATAGTTGCATTTTGCTGCATCCATACCGGTCATGTCGAGTTTATTGATGCATTACACTTGTTTTGTATTTTGTATTTTGCGCATCGTCGCGCACCCGAGTTTCTAATGCGTCGGGAGGAGGATTTTAACAAATGTGCCAGCTGTTTCAATCGAATTTTATTGGCTCCGGCCATCCTTTTGATTTATACGTTATTACGTTTTATTGCGATGCCTGGCTCTCCCAAAGCTTTTCGAAGAGCGCTTTGCATTTTACGCGAGCGTAATGACTATATAAAATGTACCTACAGTGCGATGCGCGCTTATATAAATTTTGACCCTATTAAGTCCCTTCATTTTACGTGCATATTTATGTAACAGAAATTAATTTTGCGAATTCTTTAACTCTAATGAATTAATTACTGATAACACAAATGCATAATAAGCTAATAATGAATGGCTTAAAATTATTAAGCGCGCTGATTACATACCTTACATTATTTACAGCTCTCGCTTTGTTTCATCTGAAAATCGTCTTTTTCCAACGCTA